AGAACAGGAGAGAACTTGCTCTGCAGGGCTCTCTCAGTGTGGACACTGCAGAAATACGTCTCCTTCCCTCTGGGAAGCGTAAAGTCAGCCAGAAAACCATGGATTTATCACACATCAGATAACCAAAGTGCATGGTGAGGAAGTCCTTTTCTGCTTCGATTTTGTAAATGAGTTCTGCATCAGAACAGGAAATACAGTTTAAATGCATAAAGGAGAGATTATGAAAAACAACGGCATTCTAAAATGTCTCTTGACATACTCAGTCCCTAAAATGTTGACGTACACTGAGGTCGGAATGAACACAATCACAGGCTGCAGAGATCTTTGAGATGAGAAAGGATGTTAGGCCGGATGGGAATGGCATGCATTGCTGAAACTGTTTCTCAGATTGGGAGGGGGCGGTGACAGAAACATTAGCTTGTGTGTTATAGGAATTTCCAGATGCCAGCAGTTCATATATTTTATTAAAACAAAACAAACAAAACAGAACAGAACAACAAAAGGTACGCGAGCCACAAAAATGAGCCTGTTGCATTTTGCATTTTTCTACATAAGAGCACAGATCACCACACATAGGCCGCTTACCAGTGATACACACGCCAAATGACTCCTACAGATTCCTTCCTCAGCAATTCATCCAGTGTGGAAAATAGAGAAAGCGCTTTAGAAACATCTGCCAAATGGATCATGAACAGAAGACAGTTTTGTACACACGGTTTCAGCATCACAGACAATAAATTCTGACCTTTGAAGCCATCTCAGAGACTCAATGGGAAAAGGCTTTTTTTTTTCCCTTTTAAATAAATGCTGCACTAAAGGGCTAGCAGCTGAATTTAGTTTACTTCTAAAAAGCAAAGAAATGGGAATGCAGGCAGCCCGTCCATAAAAAAGATGGAGCCTTGTTGTGTTATAGGGGGAAATGGCAAGTCGATGTGTGGAACGTGCGTGCTAATTCATCATCTTTGTAAGTCATGTAAGCTCTGCATTCTTGTTAGCACGGAGCCTTAATGGGATTGTGTTAAAAGATCTGATTTGTCTCCCGTAGATGGTGCTTTCTGGAGGGAGGCAGAAAGTAACGTGTAATCTGTTTTATTTTGGCCAGACATGGCTTTTGAGCATCAGGGAAACGGAACTGTGGCTGCAGCTCCACTGTGCAATGGCCCTGCCAGCTCCTGAGGCTCATCAGGATGCAGGCGGGAATGCAAGCGGGAATGCAAGGCAGAGCATCCATCCTACACCCACATCCATTAGCGAGATGATTAAACCCGTATCGGCCCCTCGCTGCAATACAGCAACTGTAATAGGGCATTGTTACAGGATCAATGCTTCCTGGTTCAGAATAAACATCAGCATTTGTGCGGCAGCCCTTGGTGCCCCACAGCTGTGCTTCTTCCCACTGACATCTTTTCATCAGTGTAACCCACACCGTGGCGACATTCCAAGGTGTCATAACTGCAAATATCTACGGCAGGTTGGATAATGGCTATGTTTTTGTTGCTAGCTTTCCTTCCTCTTCTGAAGAGCGGATGCACATACATTCTAATAAATTAATCCCATTAAGGAAAGAAAAAAAAATCTAAGGAAATTATTACATTCAATGAAATCACCTTTCCTCCACCTTCCCCAGATCTCTTAACAAAATACTCAGATGTTGGTGTGTGCTGTGCCTCTGAAACTGCTCACGTGTACCTCAGTAAGGGGGATAAATAAACTGAGCCGACAACTACCAACGAGCTGCTGTGGAAATGGCTCTTACCCCCTTCCTTAGGGGTCTGGTTCCCTCAGGCACCCCAAATAGTCAATACTCCTGGTGGCTGATCCTCAGGTTCTGAGCATGCAGTGGCCATCAAGGGGCTGGGAGCCAGGCAGCGGGCAGCGGGCAGCGATGCACTCACAGCTCCCAAGCTACCTGCACCCGATGCTCCTGTGACAGTGTCTGTCACAGGCTCATGTATTCCTCCACAGGTTCAGAGAGGGCCCAGACACAATCTCAGCTGCTTTCAAACCTCAATAGGCCACTTCTATAATGCCAATTTTAATGAACTTCTCTCATTCACATTTAATTTACAAGTTATAAGGAGCCTCCAGATAAAGCAACCTTACCTCACTGAGACACAGTGGTAATTTTCTTTCTAAAGCTCCCAGTTCATTCCCCAGGCACATGGGCAGTGAGAGAAGTGTTCGGGCCATGCCAGAGCCCTGGCTCTCCTAGCTTCAGCCTGGAAACACCGGCTGGGTCAAAGTGGCAGACAAGACAGTGCTGGGAAGCTGCGGCAGCGAATACCTCTCTAATCCTTGAACCCTCCCTGATCCCCAGATTTCCAGCAAGCAGTGTCTTAGCAAGCACACGCAGGCTGGGACTCATTTAGCTCTAAACCAAAAGGTTGCCCAGCTTAATGCACCGAGCTTTCGCATCCCTGTGTAGGACAGAGCCTGGCATGAGGTTCTGTGAAGGTGCTCTGCAGCCAGCATGGCATTAACAAAGGTTCCTATCACAGGGGGCTCCATCTGGGGAGGGGAAAGGCCTTCTCCACATCGAATCAGGCCAAGGAACCCTGAGGGAGCCGGTGGACCATGATCTCAGCGCTGCCCTTTGCGTTCCCAGAGAGTGATGGCAGGGCCTCGCTGTGCGGCAAACGGCACCCATCCATCTACACAATTGCATTTCTGGTTGGCTTTGAAAAGCATTCCCTCTCAGTACCATCAAACACGGCCAAGTGTAATTAGGATGAGTCTGGTGCCTTCCGGTTATTTGCAAAGTTTTACTCGTCCCTTCCATCACAGTGGACAGGCTCCAAAGGAGACATGACTGTCGCTGCAAGCAAAGGAGCACTGATACTGAAGAAGGTCTGGGAAGCAGAATGTCACTCCAGTATACAGGACGACCTAAGTCACAGAACCAGCTCTCTCTGTGTTCTGGTCTCTCCCTTACAAGGATTTTGCAAACCGTAACCAGAAATCTGCACTTGGGCCAGTTATTCTGAGGAACTGGAAATGCCAAATGACACTGCATTTTGGCATGGACTCTGAGTTTGAAAACACCAAGATTTGTGTGCAAAAAATAAGAGGCACCATTTGGGAACTGTCAAGCTGCTACGCACAGCACATATGCTACACACAAACATACACGTGCACATGTAATTTGAAAACAGGGTTTGTTTTCAAATTAATCTGAAGGGCCATTTAGCTTGGAGCTCTCACTGCGTTCGGTTCTGTCTGACTCCACACAGCCTGCAGGCTGGGCACTGCTATCTTCACACAGCAATGCTGTTCCTAGGATTTGTTTGAAAGCAGTTCGGTTTTCACGGCTCACTGGAGGTTCTTCATTCCCCTTTCTGTGTTATGTAGGTATAAGCCGTCTCTCTAGGCATAAACTGTCCACTGGTAAAAATCAATTTTGATTTTATCAGTATTTATTACTGCTGGTGCCAGCAGTTTAAAAGACCAGAGAGGGAAAACATGCAAAGTAGGAGGAGAAAAAAATTAAAGCCAGAGCCTCACGCCGACAGATAATAGTGCCTGCTGTCTTTAAGAGGTACTCTGTATCATTCCAAGCTGAAATTATCAACTTAGAAATTCAATCAATAGTAATTGATGGGACTCTGCTACTGAGTCCCTCTGTGAGCATTGTGACTGGTGCTCTCAAAGTCAGGACACCCACCAGAGAGGGGCCGTGGGCCCACCAGGTGCTGCCCAGGCTGCTTCACAACTGCCATCCCACAGGGTCTCAGCTTTACACTGTCCAGAACATCTGACTCTGCTCTCTCTAGAGAGAGCCACGCTCACCTCCTTTTTCCCTTACTCAATTTTGTTTTGCTTTTTTTTCTCTGAAAATTTCAAAAAAGACACCCCAAATGTGCACGCCTCTCTTCAGGGCCCCAAATGTAAGCACTTTCCCATCAGACACCTCTCTCTTCCAGCACATTCAAAAAACAATGTGCTTTATTGATGGGGTGACCTGGAGAATTAGCGTGCTGCCTTGCTACCTCCCTGGAGTTTCCATCTGCTCCTCAGTCAGGCCCTACCAACTACCATGCCCAGACAGTCCTCGTCTCTCCAAGGAAAGGCTCCCAAGGGCTGCAGAAAAGACAGGCATCTATGCATCTTGAGACTTGTTGCCGCTCCTGCAGCAAGAGTGCCCACGATCTATGGCCAGCTAAACACATTCTCACGGCACGCAAACAATCACCTTCCAAGGCCCCACTGTGGCAGCTTCCAGACACACTTTAATCTTGACATCTGGCTGTGCCTCTGAAGATTTTTTCTAGCACACATGACCGTCCTGTAAGGACACTTGCGAACCTTGGCTCTGGTGTCACAGAGCTAGATGACCCCATCAGGTACTGGTGGAGGCCCTGAGTTACTCTGCTCTCAAAGCCAGGAAGAGCCAGAAGCTGCCAAAGGATTACTGGCAGCAGCTTCAACTGACAAACCTCAGTCTACCATGGAAAGACGGGTGGCAGGCCAGACCTCTCGGTTCAGTCTTGATCCACCCTCCCTTTCTCAGGTACACAGAAATGCCCTGGTGAATGGAAGGATCAGGGCTCCTGAGCATTTCCTGGGAACACCTGGGGTCACTCGGAGAGAGGAAGCCACAAACTCAGGCCACCCAGACCCCCATCTCACCATCTCAAAGCTCCAGCTGACCAGTCATGTACAGCAGCAGTGTGGTTGGGGGGTCCAGGCCAGTTTTCCTTTAGATGACCTTGTCCTGTCAGACCCTGTCACTAAGGGCCAAGGTCACAGAAGAGAAAGAACAGCGGGCCTGAGACAGCAGGAGTTTTATTTTCTGTACTGTTAGCTGGAACCAACTAAAAATATAATAATAAAAGTAACAGTAGTGTGTGTGTGTGTGTACACAGATGTGTATACAGTCAAATCATTAAACATGTGCTTCCCACCGATAGAGCTCATTTTAAAACCATCCTTCCATGGCACGCTAACGATGATTAATAATAATAACCCCACACACAGCAAATGTGACAAAATGACAAAAGAACTCTTAATTTGGGACTTTATTTTAATTTCTTCTTTTAAGATGCTACATAGTTGAGCAGAACTGGATTGGTCTTTTAGGGCATGAAATTAATTCACAGTCAAGACTCTTCACTACCAGCAGATGGATTTGCGGAGGCGCTCTCCCTCCCCACCTCCGTGCCCCACACCCTCGTGCAGCCTGACTCATTCATCCTGAGACAGGCAGGTCAGACCTGGCCTATGTTCTAGAAGGATGAGCCATAGCGGAGAGTGAGGGGAGAACAATCTAGAAGACTGGGTAACCCAGAGCTGACTGTCACTACAAAGAGTGTCCCTCTTCGGGACAGCTGTTACTGATCCACAACAAAACACTTCCTGGCAGCTGTCTCCTGACTCAGACTCTCCCCATCCCTTGGACCTCCAGAGACCGGGAGCCATGGTGACACCAGCGGCAATGCCCTCACTGGTATGGTACTCCATGGTACTCCACAGCACAGGTGAGGTGCAGGCCGCAGCACTGCCTGCACTCGACAGCAGAGTGGAACACATGAGATGGAACACATCGAGTAAGCTAGATGTGCACGACACATCTCTGGTAACAGCTCAGTGTCACTACATGAACCAACAGACTGATTTTGGTCCCTTTAAGAGAGCAGAGCACAGAGACTCGGGTCTCTCACTCATGACCTACAAGTACACAAGATGTGGCCACCATGCAAGGTGTTTTGGCTTCTGTAGCTCTGCATGCCTGAGGAGCCGATGACTTGGACAGAACAGCAGGCCTGGGGAAGCCACCTGGGTGAGACTAGGCAGCACGAGGAGGCTGTGGAGGGGACAGCACACCCTACCTCACAGGACTTCCACTCCCACAGGCCAGCCCCAACATGTGAGGAAGAGCTTCTGCTTTAAGAGAGGTGACTAGGAACACATGCCAAGGCCTACCCGAGCTTAATGTGACAGCTACAATATGCCACTGTGGAAACCACGGCATCCCTCAGTAACAGACCATTCTTCCCCCGTCCATTTACTATACATTTTTAACTTCCTAAAAGATCATTATATTATGCTATATTTGTGTGTGCATTTGTGTGTGCATGGGGAGGGGTATTTAAAGGCAAGACCTGTGAGATGTCATCATACATTAATTTCTTTTTACGCATGGTTATGATAAATTTAGATCCCATGATGTGGTAGATCCATCAATCCAATCTGCCGTCCTGCGCATGCGGCCTCTACAAGGCAATCTTTCCTATAATGACACCAACAATGAAGAACAAGACCACCAGAGCCAGCAGCCGGGCGCTGAGGCCGTCCTCCTTGCCGGGGGCAGCCAGAGCCGCCATGGGGCTGTTGCTCTGCAGCGCCTTCCTCACCCGAAGCCCGTCTTCTTCCTAGGGGGATAAGTGCATATTTCAAAAGCAGATCATGGCTTGGCAGACATGATCCAGCCACAATGCAAAGGTACATGGAAGCCTATAGAGAAGCTGCTGCCAGGCCCCTCCTGGTCTCAGTGTTCCTCCTACCAGAGCTGCTGGCTCTCTCCTAACACCAAGTTGGAGTGCACCCTCAGCTTCCTGTGAACTACAAGAAAAGCTCTTGGTGTGGGGGGGGGGCGCTGCAGGGTTGCAGCACAGGTTCTTTGGGCATGTTTTGGCCTCTTCTCTGCCTACCTCCAGATCTGACCTCTGTCCTGCCCTGAACCTACAAGTTTGTCCAATCAACTCATCTCTGCCTGAAATTCCAGGTACTTCCCAAGACACGAACCACAGTCAACTATTCAGTGGGAACCTGCATACGCCTGGCGAGAGACCTAGGTAGACTACTGAATCTAATAGCCCTTCAAATTTGAAACACATACTATGTGTGACCGCTGCCACATTTGGTGAAGAGAAAACCTTCATTTGCCCACCACAAATACCTTCTAACTAACTCATGGCTTCTCTCACTTCCAAAGAGAGTCACCAGGCCACACCCACCACACCCCCAGGTTAGGTAAGGAAAGGCATGTGTCTGTTTTCTACCCCTCGCCTGAAGGATCTGCAGGTTCCTCCAGTCCCCTTCCCAAGTCCCACAGGGGCGGGGCAGGGGCAGGCTGTTCCATTCTGAGGTCTCGCACAGAGCTGAGACTCTCCACCCTTTTCCTCAGCTTCCTTCTTATCTGCCAAGTAGCAAGGGCAGTCTTCCCATGATCTGCAGCTCTCTATGGTCCCACTAAGGACATGGGCTGTAACCATCACTGTCTCATCTCTCCCTCAGCCCCACTAACAGGGAGCTCCCCAGGGCAGCCTGCTCATAGCTGAGCTCGCAAGGCCTGGCACACAGATCTCACTAAACAAGAAGCCATGTGTGGCAGGATAAAGCATCCCCTGACAAGATGGCTCTGGTATTATTTTAGAGATACTGTGCTCACGGGCAAGGCCAGCGCCACAGCACAGTGATGGATGAGCTGCAGCGTTCGATTAACTTTACAAAAAATGGGCACAGCAAAACCCACCATTTATTTTATTGGGTTTACATTGAAGTTAACCCAACCTATAGATCACCGTAAATGGTGCAGAACTCTATTTCTGAGGAGAGTTGCACTCAAAGAGAAGCTTCTGCAAAGGAAGATGCTGAGACCACTTCTGCACTGCCGTCCTCCTACATCTGCCTCAGAGCCGGGATGCAGGGAGTCGGCTTATGCGAGTGTGTTATGTGCATCTGCCGCCACAGCCAGCAAAGAGGGGAAACCTATTACATGCTTGGCTGGCATCATCAAGATTAAGAACAAATAGGCCTCAAAATTTAAGCTGTAACAAAAGCTCCTATAATCAGATGTTCAGGTCTATCCACATCCAAGACAGACAGATCCACAGGGTTTGAGTCACAAGTCAGTCAGAGAGACGGTCAACAGACAGGCCTGAGAAAAGGGCCTGGAGTAGACAAGACTATGCAAACCGCGTGGGCAGCAACGTGAGCTGCTAGGCCGAGGCTGCTCTGGCCTCTCCAGTGCCTAGCCAGGCGCCCGGAGCTGCAGCCTTGGTTTCTCCTTTGTGCCTCCACCTCTCTACTGGGCCAGTACTGTGCTTTCTTCTCAGCATAAGAGCAGCCTGAGGAGCTCCCACTGCCGGGCGCACTTAAGACTTCCCAAGACTCCTGTGCCTACGTCAGAACAGGACAGGACGAGCAGGAGGTGGCCTCCAAGTAAGGTCACCCGAGGGACAGGCTGCAGCAGGGCCAGACAGACCAATGGGAGCGGGGCTGGATTTGGTTCCTCAAGTGAATAACCGTTTGGCAAGTATGGTTCCAACACCCTTTCAGGAACCCCCTGGGAGAGAGAAAGCAAGCACCACTCACCCATGATGGCAGCAAGGGCCTTACCTTGAGTTGTCGGCCCTCCTCCCGCAGCCTTTGCACCTCCCCCTGCAACCGCCTGCACTCCTCCATCACCTTCTTCACTTCGGTGTCATCAAGGGACGACGGCAGGGACTTAGCAGCCGCCGGTGCTTCTGTCTTGGATGCACTTGTAGGTATAATTTTGTTTATTTCTACATCATGCTGTTCAGAAATAAATGAAAGCCCAAGGGTCACCAACTATGTAAGAAAGGATTTTATGCAAATTAGTTCTCAGCACACAGTACAAGAGGCAGCATTCCATCCACACGGCAAAATGTCACATTTATTTTTTAAATGCATCACTTTATCTAATATCTTGATAATCTAAAGCTACCGGGCCCTAGAAATTATGAATAAGGGCAAATAATGAAGTTGGGCTGAGGCTAATACTTCAAGGAGGAGAAAAGGGGCTGTGCATATTGCACTATCAAATTCCTGCCATGCAAAAATTAGCATACTGCAATTGTGCAAGCTCAGGAATTATCAGCTGCAAATTACCTCTGCAGGAGAACTGAGCCTCCCAGGCCTCTGGGGGTGGGGGTGGAGGTGGGATGGGGGGGATCCAGAGAGTGCTACACATAGACCACCTGGGATGAGGACCAACAAGCTCTGAGTCAGCTATGCCTCTGTCTGGGGAGGTCACATGCTCCTGTGTACCCTTGCATAAAACAGGTCATGGTACCCTCTTGGAGGATGAGCTGGCCAGTGGAAGCAGGGCTAGGAGTACTCAGAATGGTAGCCTGTGGGTCTATGCAGAAATCTGAAAATCTGGTATCTAGCTCCAACTCCCTTCACTTTCCACAGAAGGGGGAGCCCAGGCCTGAGCCCCACTCATCATGGGGCTGGGGTCAGCATCCTCATCTCCCTGCTTCTGAGTTAACTTTCCCGGAACAGGATGCTGTTCTTTCTCCACTCGAAGGATCAGGGTGGCACAGCTGACGGCAGAGCAGAAGACAAGCAGTGCTGACCACCATCGCCAGCAGTCTTGGGCTCATCACAGCAGAGCGCTTCCCCTTCCCAGCTCCTCCATCACTGCCAGGGGCCTGCAAACCATGCAAGGCTTTTACTTTTTAATACAATTTTAACTTCTCTGGCCGGTTAGAAGGGCAGTGCACGTCAGTATTTGAGATGCCACCTTCTCTGTCTTCTACTGTTCCAGTGAGGGTCCAGATGAAGTCAGCACAGGGAGAGATGGGGCAGACAGGGAAGTATGGGACACGGGGTCTCACAACTGGGCACTGGGCATACAACAGCCTCCATGAAAATGTGGGGGTACTGCTAGTGTCGAGGAAGTGGGTGCTCAATGCTGGATATCCCACAGAGCACAGGATGCAAACGTCAACAGCACTGAAGCCAAGAGAATCTCATCTCAGGGCCAACCTGGCACTGAAGGAGTCAGTGAGGAACAGAAGTTGAGGGAGCGCACTGACAAGGACACTCGGAGACTTCACCACCTGTCTAAGCACCATGAAAAAGGACAAATTATTCCATGTTGGTCTTCCCATTTTGCCAAGCAAAGGTTCCCTGGAACTCATGACCTCAGGAGCCAACAGGTTGCTCTTCGGTGGCTCTTCTCCACAAGTCTTTCCCAAGACTGACCGTATAACGCCAGTCTACCGTTCTCCACAGTCTCCCAAGGCTGACCGTATAACGCCAGTCTATCTGCTGACTTCAGCTTATTTTTCCTTCATACATTAGAGGAAGGAAAATAATTTGCCAGCTCGGATCTCTGTTTCACAGATGATGGCATGCACAGAGGCACCAGCTTGCAACATTCGATTACTGGGAACTAGAGACGTACTTACTGGTTTAGCGTTTTCTGCTGGCAATTCAAACACACATCTAAGTTTTGAATCCATAAGGTCTTCCGGTTTTGCCTCCTTCCACTAAAACAATTTAAATTTAATAATCAGGGTATTATCAAGCTGCTGGAAGAATAATTCTCCTCCTATAACTGACAATTTCAGAAAAATACTCTTAATGAGAAAGCCCTGATGTATATCAAATAAAGAACTTAAGTCTGCTGAGATTTCAATATTTTTAACATGACAAGATTAAATGCACTAGCTCTCCTGAATATTTATCACACTTTGCAAACCCTGCAGGCTCGATGCTCCTTAGAGCCTGCCCAAGCTTGCCCATTGCTACTTCACGGACAGCACAGGCCTGGGAAGTGCCCATCCTCCCCAAAGGCAACCAAGCTCTCCTTAAGGAACTGGAATCTACATGGCAGGGCATACACTCCCTAGAGAACTGTAGGATGAGGGTTTAGCCCACCCTGCCAACCACCAGTGGGGTATATCCACCACAGAGCCATTTCACCATGTGGCTGCATCAGAATGGCCCTGCCCAAGCTACCCCCACCCACCAGTGAAGCATATGCCCCTCATTAATATCTCCTTTCAGATGTGGAGGAAGGGTTAAGAAGGACAGGTCAGCAAAGCAGCAAGGTGACAACCGAGAAGAGAGGCACCCCCTTCACCCTCCCAACTACACGGCACCCAGGCAATCACTGTGTCTGGCACCAGAACACGGCCACCCTAACTATGGCAGAAGCAGCCAACAGGACAACTGACGCTCACAGGACACCTGAGAGCACCAAGCACACAAAGGTTGCTCTGTGCATATGTCTGCCCATGTGTGAGTCAGAGAGGATCATGCAAGGGCCAGCTCTGGGTTCTTAATGCTGGTGACAAAAGGATGCTCAAGTAGTCTCCAAGAACTGCCTACAAACCACAGGGCAGACAGACTTCCACAGCACCTGTGCCAACTCATCCGGCTGCACCAAGAGCAAGATACAGCAAGCGGTGGCATCACCAAAGTACAGCCATTCTTGTCCCCAAATTTGAATCTGAATTTAATGATGATGATCTTAGATTTAAGACTCTCCCTCCAAGCTGAATGACCTGGACCCTAAGGTCCTCTGCTGAAATATTCAATGGGCACTCTGGGTGCTCAGAGAGCACTGGAGGGGAGTCCCCTCTTTAAACTACCGAACCCCAGTTCACTGTCAACTGTGCACAGCACTACATCGGTAAAGAGCGTCCATGCTCTACAGGGCTCCTTCCCCCTACAGGCAGCTAGCACAGAAAAGTTTATGACAGCCCAGTAGTGTAATGCTCACACAGTATATCGAAGCAAAGGTGATCGGGTGCGGCTGTCTGCTGCACACTGTCAGCTCAAAAGCAGCACAGCTCTCCTAGCAGCTGGGCCTGCTGTGGGAGAACTGGCAGTCACCTCCATCCATTCAGCCTCCACTCAGGAGGGCAAGCCCACAGCATCCTACAAAATGTGCTGCCCAAACACTTCAAACAGTTATAAAAACAACCCACTGACAAGTAGAAGGCCCCTTTGTCAACCTGCAGTGCCTGGCCCCTAGTTACTCAGGTGACAAGTCGGACATGGGCACTTTCTCTTCAAAACCCTGTATTTTTATTCCCAATTCACAGGTGGCTAAAACCTCAAGAAGAATCAAGAAAACCTGTCAAGACAGACCAAAGCATTAGTAGAGGCAGGGTTCCACTATGAATCAAGACAGCCAAGCCCCCGCCCTTCCAGCTACACTGCAGCGGAAGCCAGACCAAAAGCACAACCTGTAGACGTCCACCTTCCATGCCTGTCATGTGCTCCCTTCATCACACAGACTAACACAACACAAGTCAGGAAATGAAAGGGCAGAGAAATGTCTCCAGGGTCAGTCTATGACAAGGCGTCACTCCAGTTCAATACTTGACTTAACCTTCCCTTTCTGCCCCCAAGGTAGGCACCAATGAAGGCAGCTAGTTCTGCTTTCCCAAGCCCAAAGTGCAGGCTACGTGGTTGACACGGGCAAGAGACAAGCTTGACACAGAACATCCCTGCCACCCTCGCCGTCTCTGGGCTGGCCAGATCCTGAGAATCACTGCCTGCTGTGCTGCAGATGTCAACAGGCAGCACCACCTTTGGAAGAATTGACAATCTAATCTCTCTTCTTCCGAAAAAGTGAATACTATAAAATACTGTGTACTTATAAAAACAAACGCATCCTAGTTTTACCAAAATTAGAGACATTGTTAAACATGTACTCGTGTGGGGGAAGAAGGGATGAAATGAAGGCAATTAGAGAATATGGTGAGGAGCAGGCTGTGGTGTGAAGCAGGCTGTGGTGTGAAGCAGGCTGTGGTATGGAGTAGGCTGTGGTGTGGAGCAAGTTGTGGTGTGGAGCAGGCTGTGGTGTGAACCAGGCTGTGGTGTGAAGTAGGCTGTGGGTGTGGAGCAGGCTGTGGTGTGAAGCAGGCTGTGGGTG